GATGGACATTTGGGCTCTTTCCATCCTTTGGCTATTGTTGCTAGTGCTGCTATAAACATGGGGGTGCATGTGTCCCTTCGAAACAGCACACCTGTATCCCGTGGATAAATGCCTAGTAGCGCGATTGCTGGGTCGTAGGGTAGTTCTGTTTTCAGTTTTTTGAGGAACCTCCATACTGTTTTCCAGAGTGGCTGCACCAGCTTGCATTCCCATTTTTTAAAAATCTTAAAAAAAATTTTTTTTAATGTTTATTTATTATTATTGAGAGACAGAGAGACCCAGAGCGTGAGCAGGGGAGGGGTAGAGAGAGGGGGAGAACAGAATCTGTAGCAGGCTCCAGGCTCTGAACTGTCAGCACAGAGCCCGACGCGGGGCTGGAACTCAAAAACCGTGAGATCGTGACCTGAGCCGAAGTCGGTCGCCTAACCAACCGAGCCACCCAGGCGCCCCCTGGGAAATCTTAATGAGCCTGGAGACCCATGCCCATCATCAACAAGTCAGGAATGAATTTACCCCAAGAATGATGGACTCCATCTCCAGGAGGCAGAACAGAGTTGCTGGGCAGACAGTCTTGGATGCCCATCGCGAATCTTCAGTGTTATTACCTTCATTCTACAGATAGAGCCAAGGTTCAGAGAGGCTAAGTAACTTACCCAAGAACACATAGCCACTGAGGGACCAGGATCCTAACCCAGGCGGGCTGCTGCCCAAGCTCACGCTCAGAGCGATCTTTTATGCCACTTCTTAATCTGCTTGGGCTTCCGTAACAAAATGTCATAGGCTGGGGCGGGGGGGGGGGGGGGCGGGGGGGCTTAGCCAACAGAAATTAATTTTCTCATAGTTCTGGAGGCTGGAAAGTCCCAGATCAAGCCCCGCCACACTTTGCAGGGAGAGCCCTCTTCCTGGCTTGCAGATAATACCTTCTCTCTGTGTCCTCACATGTTAGTGAGAGGTATGTATCTCTTTCTCCCTCTCTTTTTTTTTTAAGTGTATTTATTTTGAGCGGGGGAGGGGTAGAGAGAGAGGTTCCTCACTGTCAGCACAGAGCCTGACGTGGGGCTCGAACCCACACACCTTAAGATCATGACCCGAGCCGAAGTTGAATGCTTAACCGACTGAGACCCCCCGGTGCCCCTCTCCGTCTCCTTATAAGAGCCACCAGTCCTACCAGATTAGATTGCTCCAACATGGCCTCATCTAACCCTAATTACCTCCTAAAGGCCCCATCTCCAAATATAGCCACGCCGGGGGTTAGGGCCTCAACCTCTGAATTTTGGTGGGGCCCAGTCCAGTCCCCAGCACCACCCATTAGAAAGAGGAGCCAGCCAGCAGCCCAGTCTCGAATGCAGGCGGTCACACAGAGCTCCGTCCCTGGCTCACTCCCAAACCCTCCCACCAGAATCCTAGAACCAGAGCGCCTGCAAGCAGAAGCCGGCAGAGCTGCGTGCGCTAAACTGTGCGTCAATCAGGGAGCTTAGCTGAAGCAGCTGAAGTTAATTTTGCTCATTAAAGCCAAGCGGAAATGCATTAAATGCTACGGAGCAGCTCACAGGACGGGCCAGACATCTAGGTCTGGAGGCTGCGCGGCCGGGAGCACTGTTCGACGTCACTCTGCAGAGCTGTCCCGGGGCAGGCACCTGGGACGGTGGGAACGGACACCTCCACGTGTGCTAGTGACCCCGATAGTGAATGGCTGGCCACTGCGGCTTGAGCCCAACCCTGGAAGCCTCTAGAACTGCCACGTGGGTACCTCTGCTGCCCCCAACCTGTCCAGACTGTGTGTCACTGGCTCCCGTGGGCACCTAATTGGCACCTTATCAAATGTCCGTTCCCCTGGATGCAAGGGAGGCGGGGAAGGCAGGGGTTTCTGGCAATTCCAGCCTCTGTAATGGGATGGGGTCTCCACCTTTCTCCAAGCTCCACGAAGTAGGGAAGGGGTATACAAGGACGGCCAAAAAGAATGACATTGATCAGAGAAGCAGAATCACTAGGAGGTTATATATATGTATGTCTACGCGTGTGTGTACGTGTGTGTGTATACATACATATCTATACATATATGTGTGTATAGATACGTATATATGTCCATCTCTGGGTCTCTGGTCCCCCTGTTTTGGCCTCATCCCCCCAGTGAGAGGCTTTCCCGGGAGGGATGTGACCCGACTGGTGGCCAGCAGGATGTAGGTCAATGTGTTGGGGCTCTGTGTGCAAGCCCCTCTGTGCTCAGAGCAGGGTGGAGGAGGGCAGACCTCACGGTCAAGCGCTGACGCCCCGTGCTGGTCCAGGAACATCCGCCGGACTGTTTTCCGTGTGGTCAGTGTCGACGGCATCTCCTCCCCCTGCCCCCTAGGAGTTTTCATTCAGCTTCTTAATAAAATATGGCCAGTCCCCCTGCCCCAGAAAGTTGACTCGTTATATTTATAGCTCTTGAAAAACTCCCTGCCCAAAGCCTCAAACCCTCGACCCGGCCTCTGCCAACAGTGATCCTTTCCCAGAGCGGCTATTTCCGCCTGGCTCCGGAGGGGTGTGGTGCCCTGGGGCAGATGCAGGTCCTGGGTGATGGGCTGACAGGCTGCAGCCTCCACCCCAACAGGTTCAAGTTTGCCGGAAAGCAACTTAAAATCACTTTCGGAGAAGGAAGTGTGCCTTATTTAGGGGGAAACGGGAAGAGTCTTGCTGTTTAAGAGTCTGTTGCTTATTATGTATTTTTCATCTCCTTTTTTTTTTTTTAACAGGAAGTAGAACGGGATTATCCGAAGCCTGGTTTTTTTTTTTTCCCCCTACACACCAGGAGCAGAATTCAGAATAATTTTGCTCCACCAAAAGAGACACTTCTGTAAAATTCTCAGGGTGCAGAGTCCTAGCTGGCCCTGCTCCCATGAGAGAGGGCGGTGAGCAACAGAGTGTGAGTTTCTTTTTGCTGCTGTAACTAAGCGGTAGCTTAACACAACACGGATTTATTATCTTACAGGTCTGGAGGTCGGAAGTCCAAAATCAGTCTCATAGGGCTAAGGTCAAGGTGCAGGTCCTGCTGGGGGCTCCAGGGCAGAAGCCTATTCTTGCCTGTTCCAGTATCTCAAGGCCACCTCCATTCCTTGCACTGTGGACCCTTCCTCTCTTGGCAAAGCCCGGCAGTGACCTCTGCTTCTGTCATCCCTTCTCTGACTCAGGCCTGCTGCCTCTGTCTTCCAAGGGCTTTTGTGACTCCACTGGGCCTGCCAGGTGATCCAGGATAGACTCCTGTCTTTATGTCCTTACTAATTGCATCTGTAAAGTCCCTTTTACCATGTAAAGTGGCGTAGTCGCACTTCTGGGGACTAGGATTGGACAGCTTTGGGGCCATCATTCGGCCAACCACAGCCAGCAAAGCACCTGCCTGGCTTCTCCGATTCTGCCCACCGCCCCGTGAGGCAGGAGGAGAGGGGCTGCGGGGGGGGGGGCCCTTTCACGGTGACTCCCCGAGGCGAATTCACTTGCCCGGGGTTGAGCAGTGAGCGTCAGAGTGTAGAGAGGGAACCAGGGCTTCCATATCCAACCCGTTTCTGCCCGCTCGCTCAAACTGGCCCAGTTGGCGGCCTCTCGGCGGGTTGGCTGAGTGCGTGGATGAGGCCTGTGGTGCCACCCACATTCTAGACCTGCCTCCGCCCCCGCCGGAGACCACACAGCCGGCAGGTTCCTCAGCCTCGCTACAGCTCCGTCTCCTGGGGAGAAGGACAGCTCTTGTCTCAAAGGGTATTTGTGACGATAAAATATAATGCCATAAAAACAATGCTTTATCGTGTTGCCTACGCGGTAGCTGTTACTGTTACTGATGACAATGGGGCAGGACCCCGAATCTCAGAGGCTCCATGTCTGTGCACTGTGGTCGCAGGATACTTCGGTTCCTGCCCGCGGTGCTCAGGCTCCTACACACGCTCCGTTTTCTCTTTGTTTCTCTCTCTTAGGCAACCCTACTCATCCTTCCAGGCCTGACATAGATGTCGCCACCTCCAGGAAGCCCTCTCTGACTGTGCCAGGTGGAACTGGCTTCTCCTTCCCGATGTTTGCACCTCCCTTGCCTCTCAGGAGGGGTGACCGTGAACGTGGGGGTGGAAGGAGCCTGGCCTGACCCTTTGCAGATCCACGTTGGAGTCCTGGGCCCATCACCTACCGGTAGGTGTTCTTGGGCTGTTGTGAACCCGATGCCTTACCTGTGACAGGAGGTCGGAAGCTTGCTTCCCAAGGTGCCGTGAGGCCTGAATGAGATCATTCCTGCAAAGCCCCCGCCGTGGGGGTCTCACACATGTTAAGTCCTCAGTAACGGGTGGCTGTTCACAAGTAAAACATGGAGAGCTCCCCGGTACTGGAGACCGTGGAACCAAAGCGCCAGCCATCTCTGCTTTGGGCTGGAATCACATCACATAAGGGCTTAGCCCCCCCACACTCGACCCTGGCTACGGCCGTCTTTGAATAGCAAGCATGGGACGGCAAATTAATGGCTATGAAGCAGGGGAACTGCTTAAAACAGGGTGGTCAGTGGGAGCTGAAGATACTTACAGGGTCCTTGGCACTGTTGGGGGGCAGCAACTCAGAGGCCCTGCCCCCGTCTGTGGAGGCGAAGGTCCCTCTCAGGGCTCAGCCGGCAGGCACGTAAGCAGGTGGGGGAGGGCCCCGGTCCCTGCACAGGGGGTGAATGCTCCTCATTCTGCCCGCCTTTGTGCCTTCATCACAGGGTCCTTGTGTTGACCTGCCTCTTTGCCCCCATTGTCTGGGCCCCCGGCCCCATAAGCTGAGTGCTGTCCTGAAGTTGTCTCGTGTCCATAAACGCCTTGTAAAAATCACCGGGGAACAAGACTACTTTATGTTGCTGGTGACTCCAGCCCAGGCCATTAAGTCTGTCCCGACGCAGGGTTGGGGCCTGCGGTGGCCTGGCTCACAGGCTTTGTGTAATCCCCTAATTAGGGCCCCCCGTGCGCCTGGTCCTGGTGCTGCGGGCCCCTTGGCCTGGCCCTGAGGGGCTCTAGGAGCCAGCGGACTCTGATTTATATTGTTTGATGCCTCCTACCCCTTCCCTGTGCATTTTCTCCTTCTGTTTCTTTTCTTTTCTTTTTTTTTTTTTTTTAATGTTTGGGGTTTTTGGTTTGTTTATTTGTTTTTTGAGAGAGAGAGAGAGAGAGAGAGAGAGAGCAAGCAGGGGAGGGCCAGAGAGATGGAGAGAAAGAGAATCCCAAGCATGTTCCATGCTTATCGCGGAGCCTAACTCGGGGCTCTGTCCCACGACCCTGGGATCACGACCTGAGCTGAAATCAAGAGTCGGACACTTAACCGACTGAGCCACCCAGGCGCCCCTCTCCTCCAGTTTCTTAATTCCAGTGCCTGGAAGTGACATTCTCCTACTGGGCTCTGCTCTTCTGTTTTCCCTTCTTAGGGCTCATTCCCAGCTGGAAGCTCAAATTCATAATTCCTCGAGGAAGCACTTTGACCATGCCATGGGGTGGGAGGGGAGTAGGGGAGTGTCCATGGGAGGTGCACAGGGGAGCAGGGAAGGGGGTACCCAGAGTCTCTCTTCTCTCAGGGTTGGACCCAGACACGGAGCAGAGGGCGGCTGGTGCAGAGGAAAGAGTCCCGACTGTTGCCGAGGCGTAGGGTCCCGAGCTGGCCCTCTGCTGTGTGACCCTGGCCATGTGCCTACCCTCTCTGAGCCTGCTTCCTTATCTGGAACTGGAGAAAATAACACAAATCTCTGTGCTTGCCTCATGGGGCTATTCTAAGGCCAGATGGGACAAGGGGTAGGGGCCGGTCTAGCTTTATGGCTTGTGACTTGTGTACAGGTGTGCAGGGCCCCGAGCTCAGAGGACCTGGCATTCGGTTTCACGCTCTCCTGTTGCCATCTTGAAATTCTTTGTCGTTTGGAACAAGGGCCGGCATTGGCATCTTGCACCGGGCCCTGCAAATTATGTAGCAGCTCCCGGCTAAGAGAAGGGTTTATGGCCTGCGCGGTGCTCTCCAGACAGAAGGCCCGGGGTAGCCGTAGCAAGAGCAGAGTGAGCCAGGGGGCACTAGCCAGAAACCAGGTCTGAGCAGTAATGTCATAGTGGGTATGGGGGGGTGTGGACAACCTAGGGCCATGGGGGTCATTGCTAGAGCTTTGGCTCCACCCAGAGAAATAGGAAGGCACCGGAAGGTTTGAACAGAAGAACGGCATTATCTGACCTTCAGTACAGAAAGATCAACTTTGGGGCGCCTGGGCGGCTCAGCCCATTAACTGTCTGGCTCTTGGTTTCGGCTCAGGTCATGATCTCATGGTACATGATTTCGAGCCCTACATCGGGCTCTGCACTGACAGTGTGGAGCCTGCTTGGGATTCTCTCTCTCTCTCTCTCTCTCTCTCTCTCTCTCTCTCTCTCTCTGCCCCTCCCCTGTTTGTGCTCTCTCTCTCTCTCTCAAAATAAATAAAACATAAAAAAAAAAAAGAAAGGGAGATCAACTTGGCTGGTGTGTTGGGAAGAGACTCCAAGGGTAGAAAGAGGAGAGGAGCTGAAGGCTGATGAGGAACCAGCAGAAATGGTAGCGACTCAGACCCACCTGGGGGGCAGTGGCGCTGGAGGGAAGGGACGGGATTCTGGAATGTTCTCAAGGGGGAGCCATTGGGACTCGCGACGTGTCAGATGTCATCCAGGGCTTCTGGCCTAAAGACCAACAGGGCGGAGGTGTCATCCACGGGGCTGGGAGAGGCCGTGGGGCAGGGGCGCGGGTTGGATTTTGGGAGGCTGGATGTGATTGTCCTTGCAGAGAATGTCCAAAGGGAGCTGCCGGCAATTTGTCCCGTCTGCACCCCCACGCCCCTTGCCCACTGTCTCCCCCTCCGTCCCGTCCTCGAACCACGGCTGGTCTTGTAACCTGCGTGGGTCAGTGGAGCGGGGGCAACCCAGCTGCCATGTGGTAAGGAAGCCGAGGGGGGTGACCGGAGGAGCCCCGTGGAGGGCGGTGAGGGTGACAGGCGGCTCGTACCTACCAGACACGTGGGGGAGGCCCTCTTCTAGTGCCGGCTGAGCTCCCGGAGGAACTCGGCCACCGGGTGGCTCCGGCCGGCAGCACACAGCGCAGCAGAACCGCCCAGGTGAGCCCAGCCCGGACTCCTGACCCCACGGCGTCATGAGAAATGACGAATCGCTCTTCGGGGTCGCTAAGTGTTGGGGCTGTTTGCCACACAGCAAGAGACGACGCGCACAGATCTCTGTCGGACATCCAGGCAGAAACACGTCGTGTGGGCAGCGGGATGCGTGAGCCTGGGGCTCGGGAGAGAGATCCCGTCTGGAGACATTGATCTGGGCATCTCGGACCCAGGTGGCGTTGGTCCTGAGACTGGATGCGATGAGCACGGTCGAGTGTGCAGAGGACGAGGGACCGAACCCCGGGGCCCCGGGGTCTTTACGTGGCCAGGACGGGGAGGAGGGGCTGGCGAGGGGACATAGCGGCTGTGCTGGGGGTCAGGCCCCCCACCAGCACTGGCCAGACCTTCCCCCCACTCTCTGCTGGTGCCATTCCTTCCGACACCACGTCCCCTTGTGCCCGTCCCGTGAGAACACGAGCTCATTCAGCTGCGCGTGCCCGCTGTCCTGGGCCCCCCACATTCCCCTCGTCTCTGAGACGGGGTCCTAGCAGGCCTCATGCCTCCTCACTCCGTCTCAGCCCCGGGCTCGCGGAAAGTTCTGCATCTGCGTGCTCCTCTGGGACCGCGGGACCTCCCTCCGCCCCGCAGGGACAGCCGTGGCCGCCAGGTCCCCAAAGCAGGCGGGAGCCACTCTCATTGTCCGAACACACCCTCCCGCGGCTGGCTGAGCGCACAGAGCTGGGCACGGGCAGGGAGCCCAGAGTTTTGGCCTCGCGTGCGTGGAAGCAGATGGGAGACCGAAGGGTAGCCAGTCGAGGGAGAGCGGTTGGGGCAGAGGGAACATTCTAGGAGAGGCCCCGAGGTCAGAGGGGAAGAAGGGGACGAGGAGGAAGGCAGGGGCTGGCGGCGGGGCTGGTGGACGTGAGGCTGGAGGGCAGGTGGGGCGGGCAGGTGGGAGCCACCGGCCTCATCAGCCCTGGGGTCCTCGCGGCGTTACACAAATGCCCCAGACGAGGACCCTTTTGAGAAAACATCGCATCACGCTTGGTGTCCTGAGGGTGATTAAAGACAGGGAACATTAGTACTTTTTGCAACATTAAATGGTGCAAATAGACTAGTGCTTAAAGGGATAAGTTTTATTTGCCCGAAGATTCCAAGATGTGCTCAGCTCAGCTCACTCCATATGTTGGTGAAGCAGGTCTACACTGCCACCAGATGCCTGCCCGGAGCCCACTGCTGTCAAAGGCTTTGGTGTCCTTTTGCTCAGTTGCTGTGTCTGTGAGATTGGTTTGTTGCTACTTATGTGTGGTCACTGCCCCTTCCCTGCTTCTCTCCCACCTCCCTCTCTCCCTTCCTCCCTCCCTTCCTCCCCCTCCTCTTCCTTCCCTCCTCCCCCTTCCCCTCCCGCCCTCCCTTCGTTCCTTCCTTCCTTCCTTCCTTCCTTCCTTCCTCCCTTCCTTCCATTCATCCCTCCCTTCCTCCACAGATTCCACAAGGTCCTCAGCACCTGTGCTGTGGGGGAGGGACGCCAACCCTGTCCTAAGACCCTCACCATTCACACTGTCACCCTCAAAAAGGTAATAACAGCAGGGAAGGCAAACGAATGCCACCCCCGACAGCATCTCCTTTCACGAGCATCTTCCTGCTGCTGCTGCCTGGCCTTCGTGTCTGTCCCTCCCTGCCCAAGCACCCTTGGGAATCCCTGACGTAGTGGACCGTCACCGGCTCTCCTCCTCTACGGTTATCAGGGCCAGGATCTAATTAACGAGAACTAACAGTCAGCAGTTATTCCGACAGCAGCCGAGACTGTGGCTGTCACAGGGCGTTATCTGGGCCATCTTTCCTGGATCCCAGGGCCCGGACCCCAGAGGTGCTGGCGCTGTCCCGCGCACGTGGTAAGTCCTGGAACAAAACCGGCCACCCGCTGCACTTAGATTTTATTCTCTTTATCACCCACCCCTGCCCATCCCCATGCTCCCTCCTCCCAGGAACACCCACCTTAGTGAAGTTAATTTACTAGAGTTTAGTCCTTCCAACCCGTTGTCAATGCATTACGCATTTATTAAGATATAAGTGACTCCCTGAAAAGGATATAGTGCCATTTTGTGTGTGCTTGAAAATCTACTTAGACACTATTGGCCCATAAATCTCATTTTGAGTTCGGTCCTTGTTATATGTAAATCTGGTTCAATATATCTGATGGCTGCATGGGATTTTCTTTTTTCTTCCCTCCGTCCCTCCCTTCCTTTCTTTTTCTTTCTTTCTCCCTTCCTTCCTTCCCTCCCCTCCCCCCCCCGCCTCCCCTCCCACTTTCTTTCTTTCATAGGCTTCATGCCCAGCGCCAAACCCAATGTGGGGCTTGAACTCAGGACCCCAAGATCAAGACCTGACCTGAGATCAAGAGTCGGATGCTCAACTGACCGAGCCACCCAGGGGCACCCAGGTGCCCCGGGAGTTTTCACTTTGTGAGTGTACGTATAATTTAGAGTGAAGGTGTGTGTCCCCACAAAACACGGGTGTTGCACTAGCCCTGGAGGGGAATGTATTAGGAGGTGGGGCCTTCGGGAGGTCACGAGGTCATGAGGGTGAAGCCCCTGCACGTGGGATTAGTGCTCTTATAAAAGAAGCTCCCGAGAGCCCCCTTCTGTCCTCTGAGGACCCAGTGAGAAGATGGCCATCTACCAATCAGGAAGCAGTCCTCACTGGACACTGAATCTGCAGGGACCTTGATCTTGGAGTTGCAGCCTCCAGAGCTGTGAAAATAAAAGTCTGTTGTTTACGAGCCTTCCAGTCTCTGGTATTCGGTCACAGTGGCCACACTGGACAAAGACAACACACACACACACACACACACACACACACACACCCATTCCGGAGTGATGGGACCTTACACTTACTCTTTGTGCCTCCAATCATGCTGTGCTGTGCTCCCTTCCCTGTGCCCCTGGTGGGGACACACCTGCAGAAGACACACCCCAGTGTCTGGGGTGTGTGTGTGCACACGCTTAGGGGCACTCCGGCATGGCTGTGTGCAATCCTGCGGCGGTCTGCCCTCCCGGCCGGGTGGGGAGCCCTGTTGCCGCAAGCTCACAGCTGCCCTTGCTCCTGTCTGACCTTCTGGGTCCTGTGGGTCATCAGATGGCTGGCAGGTGGCGTCTCCATCAGGTTCCCCTCTCTGGTGACCGGAGGGCTGATGCTGTCACTCTGAGGTTAGGCTCCCGGCTCTCCCCACTGCCAATCTCCGTTCACACCTTTGCCCCTTTGCCAGCGGGGCTGACCCTCTTTCATTTGCTGATTTGTAGGATTAACTTGTACAATTTGCATGATAATTCCTCATCGGTTTAGGCGGGAGGAACAACTTCTTCCCATCTGTCACTCCTCTGCTCTCCCCCCCAACCCCCACCCCTTCAGTTTGGGGACTTCTTTATCCAGTTGAAATCTTTAACTTTGGTGAAGTTGTATCTGTTGTTTTTCTCCTCCTAGTTTGTTCTTCTGTTCAAGATATTCTTCCCAGCTTTGAGACCATAAAGTTTTTTCTCTTTTCTTCTATTGGCTTTATGATTTAACTTACATAATTTAGTTCTCAAACTATGTGTGTGGTTGTAATATATTATACTATCATGTGATATTATGGAGGTATATAATAGTTTTCATTTTATATTTTTGTCTCTAAGGGAAGGTTTTTTGTTTTTTTGTTTGTCTTTTAATAAGCTCCATGCCCAACGTGGGGCTTGAACTCACGGCCCTGAGATCAAGAGTCACGTGCTCTACTGACCGAGCCAGCCACACACCCCTCATAGTCTTCTCTTTATGTACAATATGAAGACTTTCCCAATACCACTGACAGTTGCATCTAAAGAGCTTTAGTGTTTTTGTTAATTTTCCTTCTTTATAACCTGCATCGAGAATCTGAAGGATCTGTTTCCGAAGGAAGTAAATATCCAGGGCAAATACTTTTCTTTGCACCTCCTTGTGTTTCTTGCTTTCCTGATGCTAATTTGTTGGAGTTGGATGGCGATTGTTCATCTTGGGCACTTTGCCTCACCTGCCCTTTGAAGGGCAGCTCATCTGCCCTTTGAAGCAGTCTGGGTATTTGCTTGCCTAATTCAGGGTATGGATTTCAAGAGTCTGCTTTTCATCTTGAACTTGCTTCTTTCAAGTCCTCTTCCACGCAGGAAAAGTCTGAATTGCATAAGCACTTGATGTGCGTTCAACATTGAAAAATATTGTGAGCGTCTGTTGAAATTATTAAAACACACTGCAGTACCCAGATTAACGACTGTCAAATAATTTGTAGGTTGTGAACGAGGTCATTGAGTCACGGTGTGGGTGAAATGCTGGGCCTCATTTGGAGTCCAGTCTGAACATGGAAGGAGCCTGCATCTGTCTCACAGAGTTAGCTAATAATACCCCCAGCCTGATTTCTTAAATAATTCATTTTTCCTGCCTAAGTTGTGATGCCACTGACACCACTGTGGTGTGATTTGGGAATTTCTGTTCTGTTTCTTTGATCATCTGATCTGTTCCCTTGCCCAAACCGCATGCATGAATCTTTATTTTTCATATGAATTTTCATGTCATCTCGTAAAGTTCCTGAAAATGTATTGCTGATCTTGATGGGGTTTTGGGGTGATGGTGGGGTTCGGAGCTGACGGCCAAGAGAGAATTCTTGAAGATATCTTTGGTGCAAAAAGGTGATTTTATTAAAGCACGGGGATAGGACCCGTGGGCAGAAAGAGCTGCGCTGGGGTTGTGGCGGGGAACTGATCGTATACCCTCAGGTTGGGAGGGGGTTAGGGCTAGAAGAAGTCCCTAAGGTATTTTGGAAGCAAGGTTTCCAGGATGCTGAGGGGGTAGCTGTTAGGAAAACGCCATTTATTACATTTAGTGAAACCTCAGTCATGAGATGTTTCAGATGTATATCGGGACCCATAAGCTTGGAGGATGGTTGGGGGAGTTGAGATAAAGGAAGTTTCCATAGGAATTTTTATATGTTGAAGTAGATTCACAGGATCCTGGGGGGTAATGTTAAGCCAAGATTCCCTTTTGCCCCCAGCAAAGTGTCATCATCGAGGCAGCTGAGCTCCTAGAGGGAAGTCACTCTGCCTGTTGCAAGGACTCGTCACTGGGCATTTTTCATTTGCCTTAGTTTCCCACATCACCATGGCAAGCACTTAAACCCCCTTCCATCTTGAGGAAGGTGATATTAGGGCTCCAGGAAACGGAGTCTATAGGTTTCTGGAGATTAGGCTGTGAATAAGATTGCCTTTTTCTTGCAGTCTAGTGAGTTCTCCGTAAGTGGAAGGAGACTCCTGTCCTGCAGGACTGTGATCTGTATGTCAGCCATCTGCATTCTTTCCTTTCCCGTGTTCTGGGGCAGCCAGGAGTGTCCGAGGAGTATCACCACATATCCCGCCTGGCGTGTGTGCGTGTGTGTGTAGTGTGTGTGTAGTGTGTGTGTGTGTGTGTGTGTGTGTGTGTGTGTGCGCGCGCGCGCGATGTTAGCCTGTTCTTTGCCCTCAGCTCGCCCCACGCTCCCGCATCACTGTGACTTTGATTGGATTGGTTTTTTTTTTTTTAATTTTTTTTTCAACGTTTTTATTTATTTTTGGGACAGAGAGAGACAGAGCATGAACGGGGGAGGGGCAGAGAGAGAGGGAGACACAGCATCGGAAACAGGCTCCAGGCTCTGAGCCATCAGCCCAGAGCCTGACGCGGGGCTCGAACTCCCGGACCGCGAGATCGTGACCTGGCGGAAGTCGGACGCTTAACCGACTGTGCCACCCAGGCGCCCCTGGCTACTTTTTTTTCAACCAGTGTTCGCTGGAACAGGGCAACCCTGCTGCTTTTGATGTGTTGATTGTGTCTCTGGCTCCCGGTGGTTCTAATAGCCTGTCTGTTGGTTCTCTTGGGTTTTACTTTTTTTATGGCTATTGATCTGTGCAGCTTTTCTCTTTCCTCTTGAGCCAATTTTGGTACTATATATATATATATATATATATATATATATATATACTTCCAGAAACATATCCGTTTAATGCATTTTCAGGCCTTGGCTTATGGTTGTGATAATATCCTTTAGATGTTAATTGACAGCCGTTTGTTATATCTGAGTTGTTCCTTGCTTCCAATTTATGTCTTACACATTCGTATTTTGATTGCATTCATTACCTCTCTTTTGGTCTCGATTTTATTGAATTCTGCTCTATCTCTTTACTTAGGTCTTTCTTGTTGCCTTGAGTTTTTTGAGGGTTTTGAGTCTTTCTTGTGTGGAGTGCTTTCTAATTAATATATTAACGGCTTTGAATTTTCCTCTAAGAACAACTTTAGCCATGATCCAGGACATTTTACACGTAGTATGTTCATTGTGTGGCTTTTTGGGGGTACTTTAGGTGATTCTGCGTTCTAAATGATTATTTCCCATATTATTATTACTTTTTTAATGTTTATTTATTTTTGAGACAGAGAGAGACAGAGCATGAATGGGAGAGGGGCAGAGAGAGAGAGAGAGGGAGACACAGAATCCGAAGCAGGCTCCAGGCTCTGAGCTGTCAGCACAGAGCCCGACGCGGGGCTCGAACTCACAGACCGCGAGATCGTGACCTGAACTGAAGTCCGAAGCTCAACCGACTGAGCCACCCAGGCGCCCCAATTATTTCCCATGTTCTTAACTCTAACTTTTATTTTTTATTTTATATTTTTATTTTAAAGCTTATTTATTTATTTTGAGAGAGAGAGAGCACGCATGCATGTGAGAGCACATGTGTGAGTGGGGGAGGGACAGAGAGAGAGGGAGAGAGAGAATTCCAAGCAGGCTCCACGATGCGGGGCTTGAACTCACGAACCGTGAGATCATGACCTGAGCTGAAATCAAGAGTCGGACACTTATCGACTGGGCAACCCAGGTGCCCCTAAACTGATGGTCTTTTAAACTTTCAGATTTTATTTATTTATTTATTTAATTTTAATTTTTTAAAAAATTTATGTTTATTTATTTTTGAGAGAAAGAGTGTGAGCAGGGGAGGGGCAGAGAGAGAGGGAGACACAGAATCAGAAGCAGGCTCCAGACTCCGAGCTGTCAGCACAGAGCCCGACATGAGGCTCAAACTCACGGACCGGGAGATCATGACCTGAACCAAAGTTGGACGGTTAACCGACTGAGCCACCCAGGTGCCCCTAAACTTTCAGACTTTAAAAAAAAGTTATCCTTGACTTGAAAATAACCTGCTAGAGGCATAACCGACCCAGAGGTAAGCATGGCCAGGAGAGGTGGCGGGAGGCAGGGTGTAATGGTGTCATGGGAGCCCCTGAATCCCGACAGTAAAGTCACCTCCCCACATGAATCCAGTTTGTGGAGGGTTTCTGTTACT